TAAATATCTAAAAGATGCATTTGAGGACTAGAATGTGGTTTCCACTCATCCTGTTTCTACTAATCATTGAAAGTTTGGATCCCTTTCTCTGAATGGGGGGATTGAGTGGGATGTCAGGGTAACAGAGGTGGGATATCAGGCCGGGCTGCCTCAGTGCCACTTAGAATTGCCTTGGCCCTGGCCAGGTGGCTTGGTTGGAGCGTCATCCTGTACACCAGAAGGTTGCAGATTCGAGTCCCAGTCTGGGCGTGTACAGGAGGCAGCCAATCAATGTTTTGCTCACATTGATGTTTCTCTCCCTTCTCTAAAATCAGTTTAAAAATAATTTTTTTTAAAAGCATATCCTTGGGTGAGGATTTAAAAAATGGTTTTGTTTTGGGGTTTGCTTTGTTTTGAATAATTTAACCCAAAATCCAGGAGAGTCCTTTTGTTTAATGAAGCATTTTACACATTGACCTCACACTGTATAATCTCTATCATCTTGTTCTGATGTATAAAACAGCAAGTGTAATTACACCAAGTGCTGTAATTGTAAATATGAATGAGATAAACTATGCCTCTTATTTCATTCTAATGTGATCCATGATGGGCCTCGCAGAGATAAATTTGCATCCAAAGGGTTTCTTTGTGACTCCATGAAACATTCATTAATCCTTTGTATCTTTGAAGATTTCACTCAAAACTTTGCATCTGAAAGTTTAAAAAATTACTTGAAATAAAAATAAAATATTTTTTATAAAGACAAAACTTCTGTAGAAAAAAGTTGTTTAGAAAACATGAAGATCTGAATTGCTCAATACAACCTACTAGTCATGCTGAAGTCTCCCTGCCTGATGGGAACATTGAGCCAAGGAGTCACCTGAAGTATCTTAAGTGAAAGGAGAGAAAATGTTTTCTTCCTCCTGTATTTGCTCATCAGGCCCCAGGATTCCCTGACTTTACTTGCTTAACATCCATGACTTGCCAGAGACACACGGCACTGCAAGCTTGGGGACACTGCAGTATTTTCACATCCCTGGTCTCCTGCCTTGAGGGGTTACTATTTTTTCCAGATAAAGAGGTGGAGACTGGGTGGCACTAGTGGAGCAGGACCCAGGCTGGACTACAGATCGCCAGACTCCTAGACCAGTTTCCCCCCACCCACTTCCCATATTCTGCTTCAAAGAGGGTGCCATCCACATCTGCTCAGGGGAGAGCAGAGGAGACCTGGCCTAGAGCAACTGGGCTGGGCTGGACTGTCACTAATTGTCAGCAGGAGGGACAAGTACTTCAGAGCCAGGGCCACAGCTGCCTCCTCCCTCAGACCTTCTCAATCAGCAGGTTTACATGCATCAACAGAGGGTGTCCATTTAAAATATTCAGACCCTTTGATGTAAGAATTCCATTTCTGCACATCTGAGTTAAGGGATAATGAAAAGGGGCAGTGGGATTTGGCGGATTTATTCAAAGAATCGCCAACACATGAATAATTGCTCAAAATAGGAAATCACCAATACTCTAAAGTTAGTAATTTATAAACTGGTACATAATACCTATTTAAAATGGGATTTCCAGCCCTGGCCAGTTTTGTTCTGTGGTTAGAGCGTTGGCCTGCGACTGAAGAGTTGTGGGTTCGATCCTGGTCAAGGGCACATACCTCAGTTGCAAGCTTGAGCCCCAACACATGTGGGAGGTAACCAATCAATGTGTCTTTCACATCGATGTTTCTCTGTGTCTCTCCCCCTCCCTTCCATTCTCTAAAAAATCAATGGGGGAAAAAATACTTTCTCGGGTGAAATTAACAACAAAAATGGAGTTCCCAAATATTTTTTAATGACATGGGAAAAAGCTTATGAAAAACAAGAGTTTTAACTACATTTTAAAGAACAGTTTGTTGATTTTTAGAGAAAGAAACAGAGATCAAGCCCACAACCTGGGGATGTGCTCTGACCAGAAATTGAACCAGCAAATTTCCATGCATGGAATGATCCCCAACTAACTGAGCCACACCAGCCAGGACTCAACTACAGTTTTTTAAATTACAGAAAAGACTGATGGACAACCAACTAAAATGCTAAAAGTGGTTATTATGGTTTGTGGGAAATGAGATCATTTCTCCTTTATATTTCTCTGTATTTGCCTTTTTAAAAATGCAGTGAGTATATAATACTTTAGTAATCAGAAAATAAATTTTAACTAGTAAAGGTGTAGGATGGTCCTGGTTGGTTGCTCAGTGGTTAGAGTGTTGGTCTGTGACTAAAAGGTCCTGGGTTTGATTCCCAGTCAAGGGCATGTACCTTGTACCTTGGTTGCAAGTTCCCCGGCACTGGGAGAAGCCCATGTAGGAGACAGCCAATTAATGTGTCTCTCATGTCAATGTTTCTCTCTCCACCACCTCCCTCCCTTCCACTCTCTTTAGAAATCAATGCGGGGGGGAGGGAGGATACCCTCAGGTGAGGATTTTGTTTAAAAAGGTGGAGTAGGATGGGCAAGAATACTCTTTCTTGAGCTAACAATTACTAGACCTGAACTTCACAAGGGTGGATGGTGTCATGTGGCCATCTTATTTATTGCCTCAACCCAGGACTTAGAACAAGACCAGGCACTTAGCAGGTGTTTGTTCATCAAGAGCAGGTTAGAAGACAAGCTCAGCCTTTTCATAAAGGTCGAACCTCAAACATGGTCCCAGACCCAATACAGTCATAAACACCGTCATGGTTTTGTAAATAGGCATGGGGTTTTGACCTTAGTCAAACTGGCAACCGAACAGGCTCCAGCCCCAGGTTTGGAGAGGGAGGGAGAACAAACACAAGTTGCAGCTTTAACACTTTAACTCAGTTCCCCTCTGAATATGGCTGTTGGTTAGTGAAAAAAGAGTTTTATTTCCTTGTACAATAACATTTCAAGTCAAACTAGTCAGTCACATTTGAGCGGGTCGTGCCCACATAAGAAACGTGGATAGAAGAGGTACTTTAAATGGTACTCGTTTTCGGCTAAGCAGTAAGCAAGCTCCTGGTCACACTTGCACAAGAGTTCTTGACATTCATCCTCTGCCGGTCCTGGAAGAAATGGGGAAACTGAGGTTAGAGCAGGAGGTTGCAGAGACTTGAGGATAAACAGGAGGGAAACCGGTAACACCGTTGGCAGTAAGGGTCATAAATTGCATGTGAGTGACACTTGACAATTCACTATGTGATCTCCAGCCTCAGGGCAACTCCAGGAGGGAGGTGATACTGGCCCCATCTTGCGGAAAAGGAAACTGAAGTTAGAGAAGTGTTTTGAGGTGCTGTGTCCAAAGTCCCTTTGACCTTCTAGCTTCTCTTTCGTATCAATATTACACAATTTCATTTGAGGATCCATTGAGACTAGCAGTAGGGAACCATCCAGGCCTTTTTTTGGGGGGGAATGCCTGCTCTGCTGCTTCCTAGCTGTGTGATCTTGCCTAAATGAGTCAAGTCCTCATTTAAATGGGGCATTATCCACTTGGCAGGATTACTGGGAAGCCTGGGTGAGGAAGCCTGCCCAGGAGAGACTTGGCACTGAACCTGCACTCAATCAACGTTGCATGTAGTAGATATGTGCCTATAGACACATCACTTCACCCTCCCTAGGCTGTTTCCTCAAGTGCAACACGGGGATACTAATAGCACCTACTCATAAGGGCTGTTGGAGGAATGGGAAGAGAGCAAATCAGTAAAATGCAGGGGATATGGGAGGCACTAGTAAGCTGAAGCTGACCTGCTAAAGTTGCCAGCTAATCTGACCATTTAATATAAAAGAATATCCCCACCCTGCATCCCTGCTTTTTTATTGAGGAAAAATTCCCCTATCAAAATTTACCATTTGAAAGTGCACAAATCAGTGGGGCTTAATGCATTCATAATATTGGGTAACCATCACCTCTATCTAGTTCCAAAACATTTCTATCACCCCAAAGAGATCTTGTACACATTAAGATGTTGCTCCCCAATGCCCCTCTCCTGAGTCTTCAACCATTAATCAGCCTTCTGTCCCTATAGATTTGCCTATTCTGGATATTTTATACACTTGGAATCATATAGCACGTGACCTTTTGTGTCTGTCTTCTTGCACTTAACTCCTTGCATCACATTTTCAAGATTCATCCATGTTGTAGCAGGTGAGTACTTCATTTTCTGACACAGCAGTTATAAAAGCACTTGGCACAGAGACAATTTCCCATTCTCCTCCTTTTAGACTTCTCTGTCTCCTTTATTTTTTATGTTTTTATTAATTTCAGAGAGAGAAACATCAATGATGAAAGAGAATCATTAATTGGCCTCTTCCTGCACACCCATTACTGGGGATCGAGCCCGAAACCCCGGCATATGCCCTGACCGGGAACAAACCATGAACTCCTGATTCATGGGTCAACATTCAACCACTGAGCCACACCAGCTGGGCTACACTTCTCTGTCTTACCTAAAACCTAACATAGGGGCTGGCACAGAGTAGATTCTCAATAATATTTGTTGAGAGAATATGGAAAAACCATACATCATTTCCAATTCTCACACAGACACTGCAATTAATTTTTACTATTTCCATTTTATGGATGTGTAAAGTGAGGCTCAGTGGAATTCAGTAACTTGTCCAAGGACACAGAGCTGGGAAAGGGTGGACCAGGACTCCAGCCCAGGATCTCCTGATCCAGTGCCTGAAGCCTGTCCATTCTTGTTGCTTGACACAGTCGCTGCAGGGAAGAAACATCTGCACAGCATATGTTTCAAGGGACCTGGCATACTGTTCTTAATATGTTTGCTCCCCTTCTTAGCGCTATGTGTTCTAACCAGGGCCACCTCCCCGAGAAAGGTTGTTTCCCCAGGTGGAGATATTTCCCTGGA